GCACCTGGTTTATTATTCAAAAAATATGACCGCGATAAAATTGCTCATTAACGTCCGATATTTATATTTTACCAATTCGGTTAATATGTCAGGAATCAAGCTAATCTTTCAGTTGCACGTAGATAATGCTGTGTGTGATCACTTATCCCATCAGCTACGTTGATAAAATGTCGATTCAAAATTTTATTAATAAAAACTTTCGAGATTACGATATAGTAATGTCAGGCAGAGGAGATCTTGATTTACTCCAATAATTTTATAGTGGAAAAAGTACAAAAAAAATAAAAATCGTTCCGATATAGAAAATGATCTTAACAATGGCCGCAATAGTAAAATAGTTATAAAGTAGTGATATATTTAATAGCAGTCCAAAAAGTACATATGTGCAAACTCGCGAGTGAGATATTTTACTCGTCTTTCAAAACAATATACAGTATGCACTATTCGCTTTTGTCCAGTTATCTTCAACCTATAATTACTGCAAGGTCAACATACAACATATACCCATATTTTTAAAATACTGCAACACTGTAATAATTGTTCGATGAGACCTTGACCAAAACGTATGATGGTTTATATTAATACAAACTTACGCACGTCGATATTTTATAAGAAGATTTTTCTCTCGAATGCATCAGTCCATGACATTTTTATTCTCGTCCATTAATCAAGCTGATATGAGTTCTTTCTTCCAAAATTTTATTTACTCATTTCACAAAAGAATATCAGATGATGTTCTGAAATTGAATCGTTTTGTTATTGATTCTTATTCGTACTGAAATATTGCATATTTTAGCATTTTTATCTCATTGAGGTGACTTTATCTTGAAATAAACAGAGTATGAGCTGCGGCTTGCGTTAGATCTAGAATTATTTTCAAATTGATTGTTGTATATATATATATTATCGGCTCACATTTTTTCTTTTATAATTACTATACTGCTGTAATAGCCTATAGAATTGACGATAAATTTTAGTTTTATAGTCATCTTTTATTCGTTGTGTCGTCTCGTTCATCCATTTATATGATTGTTACGTAGCTTAAGGCTCCAATCATGCATGTAACAGTTACTTTAATTTGGCTGTTTTAATTACAAGTTTGCTCGTTTTGTATTTGGGCAAACAACATGCTAGCAGTGAATAGCTTGCATGTTTGTTCATGCTATCTATGATATATTTCTAGGGATTTCTATGAATTACGATAGTATAGAGTTGTAGTTCACACATATATTTCTGCTTTTATATGGAGATCGGTCTTGGATGACAAGACGAAACTTTGTAAAAA